TTGAAAGTATATATATATATATATATATATATATATATATATATATATATATATATTAATAATAATAATAATAATAATAATAATAATAATAATAAGTGATATAAAGAAAAAAGAAAACAGTGTATAGTAAAAATGATTAATATTAAAAGAGAGAAAGGGAAAACAATATTACAGAAAAAGCTATAAATTTATTCATCTCCCTTTTTATATTAATCTCATACTTTGTAAAGAATGATCTCTAGCAAATAATAAATGTTATAGAATTTCAAAACCCATGACAAAAGAAGCTGGGTGAGTTACAGCTAAGAATTGTGAGGAGGGGAGAAAGAACCAGTGAAGCAATATTTTCCCTATCAAGAGACAAAGATATCTAAGACAATTATAGTAAAATCCACGGATTATATTGTTCATATCAAACTTATCCTAATCGTATGAAGATTAATATAAAAGAGGAGGTAAAAGGCGATCGAGCTCTCTGGGGGTTGAAGATTAACACTCAATATCGATCGTTATCATATTAATTCACAAAATCACAACACACATAGAGATTAAGCAATCCATACAACAAAGCCTTTATAACTTAATTAAAACCTTAGTTTTTTTTCGCTGCATGTGAATGAAACATTGTATTCAATTCAAAGTTGTCTGGTAGACCATGATACAGTATTAGCACAGGGATTAGATAAGGTGAAAACGTAACCTGAAGAAAAAGTTGTTTGGATGGCTGTTGTTTCCATGATATGAATCCTTAAAAAAGACGAAGAAGCAAAGCAAATAATTTCTTTGAATTACTTAGTTCTGGAGAAGAAAATTAAAAAAGGTAATGATATTCTTAAGTGCTTTTTCTGGGTTTGCTTTTCCGCCTAGCCCTGCTTCTGGAGGGTTCCCCTTTTGGGAGTTGAATCTCTTGGAACACTCCTTCTTTGGATTCCGATGTTAACTCTTCTTGATGCTTCCCATGTTCCTCTTCTTTCTTGGTTGCTGTAGTGGAAGCTTCTGGCTGTGGTTCCTCTATTGGTTGAGGTTCCACTTTTTTGGCCTCACTTTCCGTTTCCACCACAACAACCTTACGAGGCCTTCCTCTTTTTCGAGGAGGTTGAGGTTGAGGTTGTTCGGTGTCACCTCCTTTAGATGAAGCCTCAGCTATCGCTACCCAAAGTTCCTTCGTTTTTTGTCGCTTCTTTTTCCCCATAAATACTTCTCTATCAAACAATAATAGTAGCACCACTCACCAATAATATCTCTATCTCATCAATTTTTCATACCACCTAGCTACAATCTTCTCATTCTTTCTAATGCAAAGCAATTAAGCATAGCCTTCCCCTCTCTCTCTCTAGTCTCTATCTCAATATGTTAAAAGCAAGTAGACTGATGCTATGTATCTTTGACCACTATCTAGATTCTGGAAACATTATAAGCACCCTTATGAGCTATATAATGGAATAAAAAATTCACAAAAACTTGAGAGCCGTTTAAGTAATCTTCTTCCTTTCTCGTAGTTTATTCAGTCCAATTAATCTTGTACTGTTCCCACTTCCCATGTACACACAAGCATACATAGAACCATATGATATATCTTCTTTTTTTCTTTTTCTCTGCAATAATAAAGAATGGCATGTGTAGGTAGAAGTGAGAGAGTGAATGAATGAATGTAGATTGATAAGAAAATAAAAATAGAAAGGAAGGTGTTTGACTGAGTAAGTCGAATGTGGATAAACAAAACTAACCGGAGGAATGGAGCAGTAAGTAACCATGGTTAGGGGCGTGGACCAAAGGGTGGTTAGAAAATGGGAAGTGGGGTAAGGTTTGGTGTATTGTACTACTCAGACTCAGAGTTGCAGTCTGACCACTTGTGTCGCTTCCCGGGTTTCGCGTTTCCTCACCTTTTACACTTGCGCTGTAACTTTCTTCTTTCTTTCCTTTTTTTCACTCAAAATATATATTTTATTCATAATTTGAGGTTATTTTTTAGGAGCCTTTAAAATCATGAAAAATTGTAAATCGATATTAAAAAATTGAAAACCGATGGAAAATTATAAATCAGTGGTTTCATTTGATTTTTAAATTTTTAAAATTGTGCGATTTAATTCAAATTTCAGATTGAAATATATAATTGTTTTGAATCAAATCAAATTGTATTTATTTGTAATTTTTTTCAAATGTATAGTATATTTATACAAAATTGACGTTTTATGAAATTATTAATTACTAAAAAGTATTTTCTTATCTAAATATATTTCATAATATTTAAAAAATATATTTTATAAAATTATACGTTATTAAATTAAATCTTAAAATAAAAAGTTATAAATTATTTATAACATTTGAAATTTGTTTTTAAGTGATTAGCTATATATATGAAAAATATATATATAATAATTAAAATTGTATTAGAGGGTTTTTTTTTATAAATAATAAGATAAAAATTAATATTAAATATATTAAGTGATTGAAATATTTTAATATTTATATATGATTAATTTTATTTTTGACGTATATTCTTAAAAAAAATAACATAATATTATGTATAGTTTTATTTGACTTTTAAATGGTAAATTTTAAAATTTTCAAAAATCAAATCAAACTGATTGATTTTATTTGATTCAAATTTTATAATTCACTCAAATCAATTCATATATAATTTTTTTAATTTAAATAATTTTTAAAACAAAAATTAAATCAAACCATATAATAGATACTCCCGCTATTTTCTTTGAATATTGGAGTAAGTTTTATCCCTTTTAATAATGTTTGTTTACATGTATAATCAGAAAATTGAACTTGTACTGTTGCTGTTTCTGCCTATGCCTCTTTTTCCATTCTAATTTTGACCATTCACTCAGTTAGTGTGTTGCCTCGGGTAAGGCTAGGTACAGGGTCAACATTCCTGGCCCGCCTAATTTACTAATTTTAAGTTACATACTGCAACTACGTTTAAATTACCAAGTTCCAAATATGAATAACACAAAATTATGGAGTTTCTAGTATTAGATAAGATAAATTTTAACACACAAGAGATAGCATAGATGCCTACTAGTTTAGACACTCTAAACCTATAGTCTGGCACCACAGTTTTTTTTTTTTAATCAATGTTATTTATTGAGAGACAATATTCATTTTAGTATTTTTTTTTTTGATAAGCAAAAGAGATTAATATTAAAAGGAGGTTAAATGAAACTCATCTTATAGTAAGTTAATATATATTGCATAACGTCTTTGATGGAGAGGTGGAGACCTGAAACACATACTTTTCACCTCCCAGTTGGTGAGTGCACGGTTACTTTGGAAGATGTGGCACTACAACTGGTTTGAGGATCGACGGCAAACCAATCACAGGACCAAGTTTCTTTGACTGGGATGAATTGTGTTATGAGTTGTTAGGTTTTGTACCTCCAAAAGGGGAAGCTCTAGTTGGCTCAACCATAAAACTAAAATGATTAAGAGACCATACAATTGCACTACTAGATGAACCCACTAAACAATAATTGCACCAACATTATAGGGCATATATCTTAGGATTGATTGGTGGTGTCATTATGCTAGACAAGCCAGACAACAGACTTCACTTCATGTATTTACCACTGTTGGCTGACTTGGAACATGCAGGACGATATAGTTGTGGTTTTGCTTGTTTGGCACATTTGTACAGAGAAATGTGTAGGGAAATCTATCCACCGTCAAAGAAAATGGTGGATGTTCTTTGCTTTTGTAGTCTTGGGCTTGGTATCACATGCCCTTTATCCAACCAAGAGTCCAACGGGATATTACATTTCCGCTAGCATCAAGGTATGAATTAATTTTTATACCACTTTAATACATCAAACAACTAAAACCTTCTTACTAAAATTTTATCAATGTACAAATTATTTAGGTGGTTAGGAAGAGGGCTAAGATTTACAGGCACGTCCCATGGAGACTTACTTGGCTATAGATTAAGATATGACAACATGAATCATAACGAGGTAATACGATGTCAAATTCTCTCACACATACTCTCTTTTATTCAATTAATGTATATCCTAAACCTTTTTCTTTTTCAATTTCTATGGATGCCATATAGGGAATTTTAGTCCTCACTGTCAACACGTGCTTATAAGGATTCTATAATATGGACTTATTGTACTGCTTTAACTTCATTTGCAGTTGTAGTCTGGTATCAAAGTGACAGAGTCTAATTGTAATTTGGCTTGTGGTAACCAATCCCTAATAAAGCTCATAATCTTGATAAAATGCACGAAATAGACATGAGAGGACATAACGACACCACTAGGTTGAACAACATGCAGACTGGATTTCCATTTAGAAAGAAAGATGCAAACATGTTATTTTTTGGGAACCACTTCAAGGGCCTCTCCAACACACTCCTAATTATTTGCAATGGTTTCGTGCTAATTCAAAATTATTTCTTTGTAGTCAATATTCTTCATCTCGTGCATCCACTTCTAGTATACAACTCCCAACAATTATAGGATTTCAACAACATTTTCCAACACCATCACAAACCCTAGTAGTTGGAGATAACCACCCACCTTATAGTGTGGAATAACATCCCCAGTCTCTTTCAATGAATCCACAATTTCATATGCACCATGAACAATTCATGTACATCCCACCATCAACAACTCCAATAGGGGACTTCATGAGCAATCTTTTCGGCGTCGACGTACACACGCTACAAAGTGCATATGATTACATGCAAAAAATGAATTTTCCTTCATTTTCTTCTTATCGCTCTGCGGTTAGTGGAAGTGCTTCGTCGAATCCAGCCACTGATACTGTTCATATAGAACATGATGAGGAACAAGTTGAAACTAGTGGGCATAGGCATCATTAAAGTTGGATTGTAATTTGGTGGATTGTAATTGTGTTGTTGTTCTTATTTATTCGATCTCCTATTTTATTGTTGTTATTTTGTTCTTATTTAAAGTTGTTGATCTCAATTAAAATTGTTCATTTCTCTGTACAAATGTGCCAAACAAGCAAAACCACAACTATATCGTCCTGCATGTTCCAAGTCAGCCAACAGTGGTAAATACATGAAGTGAAGTCTGTTGTCTGGCTTGTCTAGCATAATGACACCACCAATCAATCCTAAGATATATGCCCTATAATGTTGGTGCAATTATTGTTTAGTGGGTTCATCTAGTAGTGCAATTGTATGGTCTCTTAATCATTTTAGTTTTATGGTTGAGCCAACTAGATGAATTCAAACTATACCCCTTTGTCCACCCAGCACTAGAATAGTTCAGCACATAGGGTCTCGTGGGAGAAAAGAAAATTGAAGAAGGGTTAGGGCTTGCAATTTCTTCACTGTCTCCGCCCTCCGCGCTCTTCTATTCTTCACTGTCCCTTCATCAAATTATGTAACTCTTTGCACAACCATCCTTATAGTGATGATATGGTTTTCTTTTTCCCATTATCTTTCCAAGGTAAACTCACTGTTTTTTTTCTTACCACTTAACTCCTAACCAAAATTAAAAAGGCATTCATTTTAGTATTTTTATGTTCTAAAGGAATCAGTTTTGAATGTGTTGGAAAATATCTCTGGTGTAAATAAATTTAAAAAAAAAAAAAGATTATTCCTAGTTGTGTATATATAAAACAACATATGTGAAACTAAATAAGAGGAGTTGTTGCTTGATTGGTACTCTACTTCGAGAAATTAGTCTCATGGCTTCTAATTGTGGAGATACCCTACTTTTTGTAGAAAAAATATATAAATTTTTTAAGTGTAATATTTTATGTGTTCCTAGTTATTATAAACAGTTTTCATAATAGTCTATTAAATTAAAGTTTACCAGTCTCCCTTATTAATAACTGAATTCATTTCCCCTAAAGAAAAACTTAAATTATTTATTTGACTTATAGAGTAAACATTATTACATTTTAATATTTTATGGACCACCAAATATTTTGTTTTTGAATAGTGTAAATAAAGTTTGTTGGTATCTAATTTTTGGTAATGATTGACTCTTGATAACAGTGTAGAGCGGAAATGTATCTCAGAATTACATTTGGATACCTAAGGATGAGGCAGTAAAGGAGTTAAAGGTGTAAGAAAGAAGGAAGAATTAGAAAACGATGGCCATGCTTAAGGGGTTATAATAAAAGTAGTGAAATTCATGAAGGATTGTTATTCTTCAAAGAAGCCATGGTCTTCGTCATAAGATAAAATATTTCTCAGTAAAATTTTGTGTTCCTATCCTTAGTTATGCGCAAATCCGTTTGATTAATGTCCTCAAAACTCGTTTTTCAAGAATAAATTATATACATTTTTTATTATAGTCAATTTCGTGCAAGCACCGATAAATACGAAAATCAATTTATATAGAATTATTTTAATTTAGTCTTGGGTTTAATGTTAAATATATAATTATAATAAAAAAAATACATGTTTAACTTTATTTATTTTAAAAATAATTATAAATTAATGACTACATATTTCTAACTATCTCAATTCCTCTCCACTCATTTTTGTAATCTTTTCTATCTTTATAAAAAAAAAATACATGTTTAATTTTATTTATTTTAAAAATAATTATTTTTTTACTAACTTCTCAAGAAAGTTATTATATTTATACTTAAAATTATTTAAGTATTTAAGAAAATTATTCATGATTAAACTTGAAAAACTAGAAGCAAAAGTCTTAACATATTTGCATTAAATTCCAAAGGATAACTAGTCAACTCATATATGATTATCTTCAATAATATATATATATATATATATATATA